CCGCGGCGCCGCGGCGCCGGGATCCGCGCTCGGCGGGGCGGTCGGGGCCGCCGGGCCGCGGCGCGGTTGGGGATCGGGCCGCGGAGGCCGCGGCGCCCGCAGCTCTGGGACGGCCGCGGTTCCCGCAGCGCCGCCCGCACGTGGCCCCGTGCCGCTTCACCCCCGCCCGGCTCTGATCGCACGGCCCGGTCGGGTCCGATCGCCTCGGAGCGTCGCGGCCGCCTTTCGCGGAGGCCGGCGGGGAGAACCGGGCGCCCGGCTGCGCCTAAAACGGAACTTTTTTTTATTTTTCCGGTCACCGGAGCCGTTCTCTTCCCCCGGCGGCGGTGGGTGTGTCGGCAGCGCGGTGCCGTCTGCCGGCGTTTGCCCGTTTTTATTTTATTTCTGTGCTTTTTAACGTCGAGCCGAGGGGATGCGGAGCTGCATTCCGACGGAATGAGTCACGCGTCGCCTCCGAGCCGGGATGCGCTCCCCGGGTTTGACGGCTTTCAGGTGGACGCTGCGGGGAGCTGGCGGTGCTGGGCACGGCGCGGGGCGCGGAGCTCCGCGGCTGCTGCCCCACCGAACGCGTGGGATGCGGTGCCGCTTTTAGGGGTGGCAGAGCGGCGATGAATCCCAGGTCTCCCCTGAGCTGAGTTGGGCGCCCGGCGGTTCCCCGCTCTGCGCTCAGCACCGCTGCCTGGGCTCCATAGCAGGGAGCTTTTCTAGCCATCTGAGCGTCCCCCGTCCAAAACCCATCCGTGCTGCCATCCAGAATCCAAGAAGACTCTCTAACCCCAGTGCAGTGTTAGAAAGCAGCACTCCTTTCTTGCTCACAATCCAGACAAGGCGACGTGACAAACAAGCACCCTCGCAGAGTTCAGTTCCACATCTGAACAGCCAGGCCGTACCTGTGCGCTGTAAGGGCACACGTGCTCATTCTGTTCCAAGGACTCGTGTTTGTGCTCGTGTCCCTTTGGGCACGCTCAGTGCTGTGAAGGTGGTTGAGCGCCCACCTCCTCCTTCCCCATTTTCCCGAGACCCTTCCGTGGTTTTTTCCTTTCCCAAGCAATTCCCATTGCTGGCTAGGCCGCAGTGAGCAACTTTTTGTGCAGTGTATGTGGCACCCGAGGAAGATGTCCTTGCAGCTGGTGATAAAAGTATTCTATTTTGACTCCTGGGCTTCTTGCGAGGCAAAGTCGTCGAGGCAGAAGATAAAAGTCTTCTGCGGTGTCCCCAGTGCAAAATTATTGAGGGAAACAAGACTTTCACCCACGAAAGCTGAAATGGGGAGTTGTAGAGCTATTGTTGCTGGGTTCCTTTTGCTGAAGTAATAGGTTGGTTTTTAAACGAATGTATTAATCGCCATTGCTGAATGATATCAGTGCCATGAAAACCGCCTCCGCTGGCTTTAAGATGGGTCCCTGCTGCTGGTTGAGCTGCCCAGAACCCCATCCTGCTCCTCATGCAGCCCGTGCTCTGGTTTTAGTGCTGGATGGGGCTCCATCTCCCTCCTTCACCTCCCACCCCCCCCTCTCTCTGCAGCCTCCTCTGGTCCAAGCCATCTTCAACCGCGATGTAGAGGAAGTGCGGTCGCTGCTGAATCAGAAGGAGAATATCAATGTACTGGTGAGTGCTGCCCAGCCTGCAGCTTGGACCCGCACCCGGCTCCCAGCAGCGCTGCCCTTCAGCGGGGGGAGCATGGGCTGGTGAAGGGGTTTGGGGTGGGCTCTCTGCAGGAAGCTCAGAGACCAAATGATTTCAGGATTTTGCCACTGTTAGCTGTGCTTTGTCCCGTGGCCTCCATCGTGTAGAATGGGGCGTGTGGAAGGATGGGGCTCCCATCCATCCCTGGAGATCTCTTCCTGAAGCCTTCCGTGGTGCAGAGCGTGGCTGGGAGGCGGTGGGCTGTGTGGGAGGGCTGCCATGGGGGCTCAGCTCTGCCACGCTGCTGCTTCACCTTTTACTTCTTCGGGATGCTGACCCGGAATAGTTTGATGAGAACACAACCATAAGGTTACTCCCAGTGGAAGGAGGAAGATTGGAGCTGGTTAGCAAAGCAGGGTGAGCCTGGTGGATGCTGGAAGGTGCTGCTCATCTCTGGGACGTCCCCATGGGTCCCCTCGTGGTGCACACACCATTTCCTCCACGTGGACCAGTGCTGCTCAGCAGTCACTGCGCTCCCAGCCCGAACACTGAGCCACGAGCACTGCTGTGTTCTGCTTCACCACCTTGCTGGGCTGTGGTGCTTGGCTCTGTGCTACCCCTGTAGCACATGCTCGCCTGCTCTGCTGCTTGTGGCAGAACAGCACAGTCTGCATCTGGAGGGCTGAGGGCTTCTCCCTGTGCCTGCCTGGGTCAGGGACCGGGCAGCGCTTCGTCCTCGCTGTGAGTGTTGGGATTGTTTCTCAGGGCTCTCGTGCAGCTGCCGAGGGAATAAAACCACGATTGTTGATGCGTAGTTTCCTTCTGGTGTGCAGGTTTAGAGATGCTGTTGCTTGTTTGCTGACCTGCCAGCTGGGTTTCTCTTTCACATCCTCCTGCCTGGCCGTGCCAGCTCAGCATGCTGCAAAAAATGAGACCGCCACCATTTCCCAGTCCTCAACTCTCTGAAAAACAATTTCTTTTCTCCCCCAACACAAAATGTGGGACTGGAAGCGAGTTGTGCTTTTCCAGCTTTCTCCTTGCTTGCTTCCTTCCCAGCTTTGGTACGTGGCACTTCCCCGAGGAGCGCTGAGCTGAGTGCCTGGAGGCAGAGGCTATGCAGGGCCCAGCCCTGAGCAAACAGAAGTGAAAGGTGTTTTTTCTTCAGCTAATCCAACCAAGGCTTGGAGAGGGGCTTTGCAAGCCTTGCTGGCCTCCAGCAGCAGGCTGCAGGAGCTGCCTGCCGTTCCCATGGTGGGAGGCTGCTCGTTTGGGGGAGCTTTCCCCACTGCACGCCCTGAGCCATCTGCGTGTGCTGTGCTGGGGCAGGAGGGGCTGTGCTGAGTGGTCCCCTGCTCTGAGCTGATGGCAGCTCTCGTTCCTTCCATCCCTGCTCAGGACCAAGAAAGACGAACACCTCTGCATGCTGCTGCCTACATAGGAGATGTTGCAATCCTCGAGCTCCTCATACTGTCAGGTAAGGGCCAGGGCTCAGGCGTTTTGCTCAGCACTGGGGCTGCCTTTAGGGAATCGTTCTGATCCCTTCTGCACTCGGGGGTGCAGAGCAGGAGGGGTTGGTCACCCTCCAAACACCCCTGTGCTCGTAATTAAGCCAATGGGATTGCAGCCAGGGAAAGATTAGGAAATGTTGCTGTAATCCTAAGAGGTTTGTTCAGACGGAGAAGCAACGTGGAGCTGAACTAACAGAGGTGGGCACCCAGCCAGGAGGGAGCTGCGTTCTGGGGCTCTGCTGTGGCTGTTTGGCTCGGTGGGGAGCTGGCACTCTGGCAGATGCAGTCACTTCGCTCTGCCTTGCTGCGTCCTTTGCATTGCACTGGCACAGCCTTCAAGAGATGTGGCTCTGGGCTCTGTCCTCACCTAAAGCTCAGCACAGCCCCTTTTTGCAGCGGGGCTGGTGCTCGTGCCTGCAGGAGCCCCATGTGACAGCATCCACGGCAGCAGTTGGTCACCTCTTCTCCCTGACCCTGCTCTCTTCTTGCTCAGGTGCTAACGTTAATGCGAAGGACACTGTTTGGCTCACCCCGTTACACCGCGCTGCGGCTTCTCGCAACGAGGTATGTGCTGCTGGGAGGAGGAATGCTTCTCCTTCTCTTTTGGTCTTGCCTGACTTTGGCTCGGATGGGTGTTCTTGTTGGAGTGGAGAGAGGATGACCTCGTAATCCAGCTGCTGAAAATGAGAGCTGGGGAAGATCCTCTCTGTTCCCTCCATCCTTCAGGAGCCAGCACGTGTGTTTTCCCCACGCTGCCCTCCTGCCTTTTCCCCCTTTCCAAGAGCTTTGGTTAATCCAGCTTTATGTTTCTTTGAAGGATAATGGGGCTCTCTTTCTCTTTTTGGAGCCAATTCCAAGAGATCTTGTTGGAAAGATTTCCTGACATTTGGCTTTTGTGGGCTTAACTTCATCCCACTTAACTTTGTCCTGTTTTGAGTCACTTGAGAGCAAGAAACGTTGCTGCCGTGTTGGTTGGAGCCAGGGATCAGCAGCTCTGAATCTGACACGCAGGGCAGGTTACCACACATCAGCTGGCGTCGTGGATTGTCTAATTGGCAGCAGACAGGAGATGAAATGCGTGAGCGTAAAGCTCTGCCAGAGGCGTTTGCTGTGGGCTGTGAGCGTGTGTGGACAGTCACTGCGTGTCCAGAAGGCAGGAGGTGCTGCAAACGTGGGGCTGCAGCACATGGCCTCTCTCAGCAGAAGAGGGAAATTGCTGTAGAATGCAGGTCAACGTGTTCTGTTTCTTGTCCTTCTGGGTGCTCTGCACCTCCTCAGTCACAAATGAGCCCTCGCTGACGATTAAATCCTGTGGCTCAGATGTGTTTCTCCCATGCCAGTGCCCCCATGCAGCTGCATTTCACAGCTGTGCTTGGGTGGGATGAGCCTATGGGCTCCAGCAGGCTGAGTTAGAGCTCTCCTTTCCTCTGCTCCTGCCAGAAAGCACTTCACCTCCTCCTGAAGCACTCGGCAGATGTCAATGCCCGCGACAAGTATTGGCAAACGCCTCTGCACGTCGCTGCTGCCAACCGGGCCACCAAGTGTGTGGAGGCCATCATCCCCCTGCTGAGCACTGTCAATGTCGCTGACCGCACGGGCCGCACGGCGCTGCACCACGCCGTGCACAGCGGCCACCTCGAGGTGGGTGATGGGGCTCAGGTGCAGGGTCCTCACCGCGTCCTCTCCTGCATCTGGGCTGCTCCTGCAGCCCTGGGGGGGTGGAACGGCAGCCTTGCCCCTCATGCTGCTTTTCTGCACCCAGATGGTGAACCTGCTGTTAAACAAAGGGGCCAGCCTGAGTACTTGTGACAAGAAGGATCGCCAGCCCATCCACTGGGCAGCTTTTCTGGGTAGGCTCCCCAAAGACATCACCCTCGTTTCTTTTCCCCTGTTGCCCGTGGATTCGCCTTGCAGTGCTCTCTGCAGCCGCGGTGCCTGTGTGCCCGTTGGCTCTTACCTCCCTCCCTCCCACAGGGCATTTGGAAGTTCTGAAGCTGCTGGTGGCCCGGGGAGCCGATGTGACGTGCAAGGACAAGAAGGGCTACACCCTGCTGCACACGGCGGCGGCCAGCGGGCAGATCGAAGTTGTGCGTCACCTGCTGCGGCTGGGCGTGGAGGTGAGCCCCCAGCCAGGGGTCTGGGAGCTGGGGAGGTTGGGAACGTGGGCTGCTTTGTGGCTGCCCTTTTGTTTCCCCCCTTTTGTCCTTCTCAATCCCCAAATCCTCTGGGTTCGCTGTTCCCGCAGATCGATGAACCAAATTCCTTTGGTAACACTGCACTTCACATCGCCTGTTACATGGGCCAAGATGCCGTGGCCAATGAGCTGGTTAATTACGGCGCCAACGTCAATCAGCCTAACGAGAAGGGCTTCACCCCTCTGCACTTTGCTGCTGTCTCCACCAACGGGGCCCTGTGCCTAGAGCTCCTTGTCAACAACGGGGCCGATGTCAACTTTCAGGTCTGGTGCTGAGGGGCTGAGCCTTGGGGATGTGGAGATCCGCTGCCCCGGGGGGGAGCTTGGGGTGGTGACAGGAGCCTGATGTGACCTCGCTTCTGCTCTCCACAGAGTAAGGAAGGGAAGAGCCCCCTGCACATGGCTGCCATCCACGGGCGGTTCACGCGTTCGCAGATCCTCATTCAGAATGGTGAGCGGCTGCTGCTTTCTGGGTTACCCCATCCTTCTGCTGTGCTGCTCAGTGCCTCCTCCAGGGTCTCCCTGCTTGTTTGCTCTGAGGATCTGAGAGCTCTCCAGTGGTCGCTCAGATTCAGTGCTGTTTCATGGGGGCTGCTGCCCTGTGCTGACTGGGGCAGTGGAGGGCACACGAGCTCCTAAGGGCAGCGAGCGCAGAACAGAGCACTGAAATTCCAACCAGTCAGAGCAGCTAAGGCCAAAGGCCTGCTGCTGTGACCAGCCTGGAAGACAGTATTCCTGCGGGAGGGCAGCAGACTTGGCAGCACCCCAGGGGTTCAGCCAAAGACCTGGGGGCTGAACGCATCCCTTCCTGGGGGATGAGGGGAGATCTGATGCCCCGGGCTGGCAGGTGGGCTCCCAGCACAGACGGCGGCTTGCAGCTGTCCTGCATGATACAGAATGGACTCGAGTTATCAGCCATGTCCCTGAGATGGGACACAGCTGTCAGAACAGCCTGGTCCTCATGTTCATCACTCCCAGCACAGTCTGAGCCTCTTTCAGAGCAAGGTTGCTTCCTGGGATTAAAGTGCAGAGATCCACTGGTAACGCTTGGCTTTCCGTTTCCAGGCAGTGAGATTGACTGCGCTGACAAATACGGCAATACCCCCCTCCACGTTGCTGCTAGATATGGCCATGAGCTGCTAATTAGTACTTTGATGACGAATGGTGCTGACACTGCAAGGTAAAGAAGATCTCTTCCTTCCCTCTGTGTCCTTGGGCTGGAGGATGCGTGGATGGCCCACGCTGACCCCGTCCCCTCTCCTGACAGGCGTGGGATCCACGACATGTTCCCTCTGCACTTAGCTGTTCTCTTTGGATTTTCAGACTGTTGTCGTAAGCTACTTTCCTCAGGTGAGTGGCTCAGCTGTCCCCTACCTGTGGGGCTATCAGGGTGAGACCTGCACTGCCCTGACTCCCTGCACTCTGCCCTGTAGGTCAGTTGTACAGCATCGTCTCCTCGCTGAGCAATGAGCACGTGCTGTCTGCAGGCTTTGATATCAACACACCTGACAACCTTGGGAGGACTTGCCTCCACGCTGCTGCTTCTGGAGGGTGAGCTGAGCACTGCCTGCTGCTGGGTGCTGTGCCCAGCTCTGGCAGGCAGTAGGGATGTGTGGTAGAGCCAGGAATAGAGAGAAACGCACCTCTGGGCCATGTTGTGTTGTTGATTCTGATTCATCCCAGCCTCTGCACCCTGGGACTATTCACCTTTATTTAATGTGGAGCTGTAATGCTCACTTGGCTGAGACTGGGGAAGGGTTCACAGTCTGATGCCAGAAGAGCAGCAGGGCTTAGCTGGCCGTGTGAATGCCTCGTTCAATTTCACCGTGCAGTGCAGGACAGCACTGGCAATGCAGGAGGCACAAGAGGGTGATTTCACTAGAGAGCTTTGTACGAGCAGCATCCAGCCATGGCTGGAGATGACAGGCTGCATTGAGCTCCGCACAGCCAGGCTGTGTGGGTGAGAAGTGTAGCTGCCTTGTCTGCAACTAGGAGGAGTTAGCGTTCCTGCTGTGCTCCCTTCTCATCTGTGTCTGACTCGTCTCCCTAACTCCTGTAGGAACGTTGAATGTCTTAATTTGCTGTTGAGCAGCGGTGCTGACTTGAGGAGGAGAGATAAATTCGGAAGGTAAGCATGCCGTGGGCATTGCAAAGGTGATTCCTCTGCAACAGCTGGGTTTGGGCTGGGCTTTTCCAGGTCTGCATGTGGTGTTTACAGCCTCACAGCAGTAGTGTAGGGCTGAGCTGGGGTTTAGGAGGCGATGCCAGCTGAATCTGGGCAGGCTGATCGCTTGGGCTTGGTATCAGAAGGCAAAACCAACCTGCCTCCAGGGAGGCTTTTGGATCTAGTGCCCTGCATTCGCTGCTTCTTTAACCCCATATCTCCCTGAGCAGTCTGGCTCTTTAAGTGGAGCAGCTGCCCAAAAGTGAGGTGCAGCTCAGCAGCTGGGTGGGCATCTCCCTGGGTCCTGCTGATGCCCCACAGTTTCTCTGTGACAATCAGTGCTCCTCAGCCCTTTCTCCTTTCCCCTCCCCAGGACTCCACTGCACTACGCAGCTGCCAATGGCAGTTATCAGTGTACAGTGACATTGGTCACTGCAGGAGCCAGTATTAACGAGGCTGACTGTAAAGGCTGTACTCCCTTACACTATGCTGCTGCTTCGGACACGTACAGGAGGTGAGTGTGTGCCCTGAGTGGGGGGATGCTCTGCTGTGCCCTGGCCACCTCCCCAAGCGGTGCCTTGTGAGGAGGGGGTGCCTCACGAAGGTAGGAGGGGGTGGTCAGCAAACTGATGGGAGCTTCTGGCCTTTCAGAGCAGAGACTCATTCAGGAAACAGCCATGACACTGATGAGGAGCCACTGAAGGAGTCCAGGATGAAGGAGGCATTCTTGTGAGTCGATGCAGCCCCATCTGGACATTGGTTGTTGTTCACCCCTTCTCAGGGTTATACCTCACTTCTGCTTACGCTGAGCTGAGCTGCAGTGAGGAAACACCTGCTGGTTTGGTTCTTGAGCAAACCTTGGCCATCACCCCAGCCCTGATCCCCAGGGTGTCTGCATGCACTCCTTGTCCAGCAGGGTTTCATACAGCATCTGCTCTCAGATGAAGCAGGAGGTTCCTTCCTGGGCATGCTTCTCTACTCTCACTGGTTTCCTGATCTCCCTTTCTCTCTCTTGTTGCAGTTGTTTAGAGTTCTTGCTGGATAATGGTGCTGACCCATCCCTCCGGGACAAGCAGGGATATACTGCTGTCCACTATGCAGCTGCATATGGCAACAGGCAGAACCTTGAACTGGTGAGTAAATCAAAGCCTTGTGTGCTGCAGGGGATGGGGGAGGCCTGCATGAGGACCCCTGGAGCCTTGCAGTGTCCAGTTGTGTGCATTGTAAGCACTGCAGTGCCGTTGTTTGTTCAGAAGGAAGGGAAGTGGGTTTGATTAAATTCCACTGGGATTCTCGGCGAGCCGTTGTGTGTTGATGGTACCACAGAGGAAGAGCTTGGGCCTTGTTGAGGTTAAGGAAGGTTCTATCCTGAAATTCAGATATTCTAAAGCAGATGAGCTGGCTTTATTTTTGCCCTGCAGCCTGCTGGTACATTGATTGTGGGTTGAAGCCTCCATGATGGAGTGTTTTCAGGGGGCACTTACTGGTTTGTGTTTTTGCTGTCGCAGCTCCTGGAAATGTCTTTTAACTGCCTGGAGGATGTGGAAAGCACCATTCCAGTCAGCCCTTTGCACTTAGCTGTAAGTACGGCTGGCCCAGCCCCATGGTGGCAGAGGGCACTTGGCTCTGTGCTGGGGTTCGCTGTGCCCTAGAGCTGCTGCTCCCCAGCAGCGTGGGCTGGGCCACCACATTGGCCAAAGAGCTGCGTGGGGCAAAGCAGGAAGGGAGGCAGCAGCCTGGGGGCTGGCTTTTCCCACAGGCCGTGGCTCGAAGTCCCTTTGATTTGCATTTGAGGCTCCTTGCTTTTTCTGTTTCGTGGCCACCTCATCTGCGTGTGGCAGGGGTGGGGTGGGAGTGCCAACAGAGGGCAGCAGAACCATCCCAGGGTTGGATCTCCAGGCTGCGGCCTCTCTGGACGCTGCTTTGACATCACCTGCTCTGTCCTCAGGCCTATAATGGTCACTGTGAAGCCCTGAAGACACTTGCTGAAACCCTCGTGAACCTGGACGTGCGGGACCACAAGGGGCGGACAGCCCTGTACCTCGCCACGGAGAGAGGCTCCACCGAGTGCGTGGAGGTGCTCACCAGCCACGGCGCGTCTGCCCTGGTGAAGGAGAGGAAGAGGAAGTGGACCCCTCTCCACGCTGCAGGTAATGAGGCGGGGGGCTGCGAGGGAGCCGGGGATGCTCGTTGACCCATTTCCCAGCTGCTTATTCGGGAAGGAGAAAGGGCTGTGGCTTAGGGTGATGCCTGTGGTCAGGATGGGACCGGTGCTGTGCCACAGCTGGGGGAGCTGAGGGCCCAGTTGCCCAGCAGCAGCGGGGAGAGGACACCAGTGGCTTCTGCACACACACGTGTTTCCAGCTCAGCCTGTGCGTGTGCTAATCGGTCCTGTAGCCTAGCAACCATGTAATGAGTTTGCTCAGCCACGTGTGCCTGGCTGCTGAGCACGAGCCTGCACCTTTGGCGTATGGTGGCAGCTGAAAGGAGGGACTCATCAGTGCGGGTTTGTAACTCCTTTCCTCTGCTGTCTGCAGCTGCCAACGGGAATACTGATTCCCTGCACCTCCTGATAGACAGCGGGGAGCGGGCAGACATCACCGATGTCATGGACATCCACGGCCAGTGAGTTCGCCTGCGTGTTTCTCTGGGGCTGTGTCTCAGGGTGGTGGGTTTAAGCTTGAGGGCAGCACTTGAGCCCAGCACAATGCCAAGCCCCCTCCTCCCCACAGAACCCCACTGATGCTGGCGATCATGAACGGCCACGTCGACTGCGTCCACCTCCTCCTGGAGAAGGGATCCACAGCTGACGCAGCCGACAAGAGAGGAAGGACCGCCCTGCATCGGGGGGTGAGTTCATCTCTGGGGGTGCCTGGAGCCCTGCAGCTTCTGCTCTGATGCCTCCTGCAGGGGGGCTGCTTGGAGGACAGGCAAGTGGTTCCTATTGCCACAGGAGTCCTCAGTGAAATAGCCCAATTCCTCTTCCTAAAAAGCAGCGTTTGAGAAGGAAGCTGTGGAAGAAGGGGATAGCTCTGTTGTTAAATGAGGGAAGGAGGAGGTCTGACCTCGTCCTCTCTTCTGGCACAGGCTGTAACGGGCTGTGAGGACTGCCTGGCTGCTCTGCTGGACCACGATGCCTTCGTTCTGTGTCGGGATTTCAAAGGCCGGACCCCGATCCACTTTGCATCGGCGTGTGGGCACTTAGAAATCCTGAGGACCTTGCTGCAGGCAGCCCTCTCTACTGACCCTCTGGACTCTGTGGTGGACTACAGTGGTTACTCACCAATGCACTGGGCTTCGTACAGTGGTAAGAACCGGGGCTGGGCCCCATCCCACCTCTGCTCTGACTGGGTGCTGATGGCCTTATGTCTCTCTCTCCTCACAGGGCATGAAGATTGTCTTGAATTGTTACTTGAACACAATCCATTTGCATACTTAGAAGGAAACCCCTTTACTCCATTGCACTGTGCAGTGTAAGTGGTGTCGGGGGCTGCCCTGGGTTCTTCTCACCAGGTGACATGGGAGAGGGGTACAGGGCCAGAGCAGGCTGGAGCCTGCAGATGGAGCTGCAAAGCTGTACTTCTTGCCAAGGGCTCCTCTCTGGGTGGCAGTAACAGCTCAGGGTTATACAACCCTCTTGTCCTCGCTCCCCTGTGGCGGGGAGGTGGCTGCCAGACCATAGGAGGGCCTCTGGGAGCTGCAGGGCTTCTGTCTTGGCTGTGTGCAGCGCAGCTGGGGCTGGCATGCGTGAGCTCCACGTGCCAGCTTGGTGGAGCTGCCGAGGTGGGAGGGTCAGCCCCTGGAAAGCTGACAGCAGAGGGATGAGCAAAGCAGTTCTGTGACGTGGTGTTGTGATTCCTTGACTGTCATCAAAAAAGATAAAGGGTGTTTTACTCTAAACAACTCCACATAGCTGCTGTTGGCTCTTGAGCCTCAGGAGCCTGCTCCTCATTCCAATTGCAGCCATGCTAATGCTGCTGAGTCTTGTTCTCTTTCTTTCTTGTCCCCACTGCAGAATTAACAACCAGGACAGCACTGCTGAAATGCTGGTGGAAGCATTAGGTGCCAAGATTGTTAATAGCAGAGATGCCAAAGGAAGGTGAGCACAGACGTTGCTCTCTATGGTGCTGCTGAGTGGTGGCTGTGAGTCCTGCAGCTCTTCCTTTTTGCTGTGGCTGTGAGGTTCCCACCAGGAGAGTGGCAGCAGTGCCGCCTGACCTGTCTTAGAGTCTGCCTGGGGGAAGCTTGTTGGGGTGGCTGTGGGAGGGAATGGCTGCACCCAGTGGAGAAAAGCAACTCTGCTGTTTCTGCTCTTCCCCTGGCGTGAAATCATAGAATCATAGAATGGTTTGGGTTGGAAGAGGGACCATTAAGGTCATCGAGTTCCAACTCTGATGTCCCCAGGCGTGTCTTCAGGCCTTGGCAGTCTTGCTGTGGTGCATTCTGTGCCCTTCTCTTTACCTGAGCTCTCCTCTTCCCAGGACACCCCTTCACGCTGCTGCCTTTGCAGACAACATCCATGGTTTACAGCTGCTTCTTCGCCACCAAGCCGAGGTGGACACGACTGACAAGCTGGGGAGGACTCCCCTCATGATGGCCTCTGAGAACGGGCACACTGCAGCAGTTGGTACGTGGTCAGCTGCCAGCCCCTTCCCCAGGCACGGCCAGTTGGCAGAGGGCTGCCACCACACTGTCCATGTCCTGCAGCACTGCCTGGAAGCTCTCTGGAGGAGTGGAGGGATTTGCTGCTCGGGGTCTGCAGTGCTTTCAGCTTTTCCTGGGGCTGTCAGCCACACTGACACAGCTGCTTTCCCCAGAATGGGTTGTGAGACCCCTCTGCCTCCTCTGGGGTCCTTTGGAGCCGGGCTGTGCCGCTCCTGCCCCTCAATATGTGGCTGCTCCCCCCACTGCCGTTGTCTGAGCTTCACTTTCTCATGACAGCTGTCCCTTCTCATTTCAGAGTTCCTGCTGTACCAAGCAAAAGCAAATATAACTGTGCTGGATGTCAACAAGAACACAGCTCTTCACCTGGCCTGCAGCAAGGTAGGGAGCCAGAGCCCAGAGACAGTGCAGGGAAGGGAGCGTAGGAAACAGCAGCTCTCTTTGCAGACCCTTCTGAAATGGCGAGCTGTTCCAGAAGGATGTGTTTAGGGAACGTCTGTGAATCCCAGGGAATTGCTTTGTGCTTTGACAGCACCCAGCTCCCGTCTGCTGCCTTGCTGCCTGTGTGCTATAAACAGTTTGTCCTCCTTTACAGGGTCATGAAAAGTGTGCCTTGTTGATCCTGGGGGAAACCCAAGACCTTGGCCTTATCAATGCAAGTAACAGTGCGCTGCAGATGTGAGTATTTGGACAGCTGGCACAGGTGGGGGGGGAGGTGGGAATCAGGGCTTTCCTGGGGGGTGGTGCGGCCTGGGTGAGAAGAGAAAGAGAAAAGAGGATGGAGGAAGGAGATGCACTCGTTTGGTGCATGCAGTGAGGACTCAGCCTCAGTGCCTGCACTGATTCCTGCTCTAATGGGAGGGTGGTCCTGCTGCCCCAGGGCCTGGTTGCTGCATTGCCCGCACCTGACCACTCCCTCCCCTCCCCAGGCCGCTCCACATCGCTGCACGGAACGGGCTGGCCACGGTTGTCCAGGCCCTGCTCAGCAGAGGTGCCACCGTGCTGGCTGTGGATGAAGAAGGTGCGTGTTGCTCACGGGCGGCTGGGCTCTGCGTGGGGCTCAGGGGCTGCATGGGGCTCAGGGGCTGCGTGGGGAGGCGGTTGGCCGGTGCTGGGATTTCCCACCCCTTCTGTGTTTGAGCTGCGTGTGCTCAGTCAGGGTGAAGATGCTGACTCCCTGTCACCCCTTGTAAAAGCACTTCCAGGTCTCAGAGGGGTTTCAGATGCGTGTCTCTTAACCTCATGCATCTTCTGGGCTTTTTACCTCGTGTATCTCCTGGGCTCGCTTGCCCAGGTGCCAGGCTGAGCTGTTGATAAGCCGTTGACTCACTTGCAAGTTGGCAGAAGCTGGTTGCTGCCACCAGAAGCTGTTGATCCCAGCAGTTTTTGCTCTGCTGGAACACCTTTAAGTTGTGAAAAATATCATTAGGTCTGCCCCACTGCCAGGGCTTCTGAGGCTTTTGTAATTCACCTCCTGCTGATCCCAGCAGGCTTCAAAGCAGTTTAGAAATGGCAAGGATCACTGGTGGCCGGCAGCAGGGTCCTTTGGCATATGAGCAGGATGAAGGCCGCCCCTCGCAGGGCACAGAGTGACATGGAGCAGGGAAGCAAAAGGCTTTCCCTCCCCCTCCTTCCCTTCAGCCTGTGCCGGGGGTCCCGGTGAGCAGCCCCTCCATCTCCGGCTCTGTCCTAGGTCATACCCCAGCCTTGGCATGCGCCCCCAACAAGGACGTTGCCGACTGCCTGGCACTTATCCTCTCCACCATGAAGCCTTTCCCACCTAAAGACGCCATCAGCTCTTTCAGCTTCAACCTCCTCAAGAACTGCGGCATTGCAGCCAAAACCGCGGCCTGCGGGGCTCTGCCCAACGGCAGCAGCTGCCCCTACAGCAAGGACCGGCACAGCGCCATCGGCTTGGACGGCTGCTACTCGGAGTAGCTTAAACTATGGGTGACCTAATATCTTATTATATTTATTTAGAAATTCTATAAATATAGGGCACTTTAAAGGAGAACAAGACTGGGCAGGCCTTCTAGCATGGCCGAGCAGACCAAGAGTTCAACGCTTCTTCCCCTTGCAGGAGCGGCAGCGCGGTGCTCGCGCTGCTGATGGCCACGGCGAGGGGCTGGCAGAGCTGCCCTGGTGGCACGGGGTGCCCTGAGCACCAAGCCACGCTCCTGCGTGGTCCTCTTGCATCCCTCGTGTGGCAGCCACTGCTTCTCTCGGGCTGCGTGGCCACAGAGAACCAAAAAATGAGAAAAAATTCCAAAAAAAAAAAACCAACAAAAAAGCAGCTGATTGGGACCATCCACTGGGCTGCTGATGGGAAGAGAATTTGGCTCCCGGCTTTTGGGGGTGGAGCGAAATGGGTTCCGTCGGTGTCCCCATGCTGTCTGCAGGCTGGAAGGGGGAAGCCTGAACTCTTGGTGTGGGGTTTGGGATCGGGGTGGTGCTGCAGCCGCTGGGGTGGGTGCTAGCTCCTGGCCAAGTGCCACTGTAATGCTCCTCTCTGAGTCACTTTTCTCTCGTGCTCATCCTTTGATTCCAATACAAACACTTGAATCAAGATCTACTGTACCTGGGACACTAAAATACCCTTTTGGCAGCTGTCATTTTTATGCAAAAACGGGTGCTGCTGCCCAACCCTGCGGTCTGCGCGGCGCTGCTGGAACCTCGCTCCCCACGCCAGGCACTTTAGGGGTTCTGTTGGTTTTCTGTTCTCGGTTTGTTTTTGGTTTTTTTGTTTCTTCATCTTGGCAAAATGTTGGATCCTAAGAGACGATTCCTTGGTTCTTTTTGGAGTTTTCGTTCTCTGTGCTGCATGGCTGCTCCCATGCGAGAGTCAGTGTTGCTTTTTTTTAAAAAAAAGAAAAGAAGGTTATTTATAAAGAAACAAGCATTTACCTTAAAAAAAAAAAACAGCAAAAATCGAAAAAAAAATCTGAAACTTTTAGCCTTTAAACAAGGAAGAAAATGCACTTCAGAGTCCTTATTCACAACCCTGATAGGTCTGTATTTATTTTTCTAACGCAGCATGTTGGCAGGTTTTATTAGCATGCATGTATGTGAGATCGTCGGGTTTTTGTTGTCGCCGTCGTCGTTTCGGGTTTTCTTTTCTAATTTTAGAGGTCATATTTATAATGCAGGTTTGAAGCATTCGAGAAACGTTGCACTGTTGGGTTTTTTTTGTTTTGTTTTGTTTTGTTTTCTTTCTGAATTACTGTAACGGTATCACGTGCAAAGCCGATGCTCTGCTCCGAATCACGAGTCTGTGCAAAGCCAAAGCCTGGGCACTGAGAAGGGAAGGGGCTGATGGGGAGAGGCAGCCCAGGGTTGGCATCTGCTGCTGAGTTTGTCACCGTGCTGGGCTGGGGGAGGGCCTGGGAGTGAGGGCAGACCCTGGGAGAGCTGCAGCTTGCTCGTGGCCTGCGTGGTTCCTGGTTGTGGCGTGCTCATGTTCTGCTCATGGCTGTTTGTGGCATGTTTGTGGCCTGCTTGGTTCTGTTCATGGCGTGTTCACAGCCTGTTATGGCCTGCTCATGGCATGTTTGGGTCCTGCTCGCTCACGTCCTGCTCATGACCTGTTCGTGGCTGCTTGCAGCCTGCTGGGGGTCTGTTCACAGCCTGTTTTTAGCCTGCTCGTGTCCTGTTCTTGGCCTGTTCACGGCTTGCTTGCAGCCTGCTTGATTCCCGTTTGTGCCCCGCTCAGGGTCAGCTCGTGGCTGCTTGTGTTCTGTTCACAGCCTGTTTGTGGCCTGCTTGGAGCCTGCTGCTGTTGTGTTCAGGGCCGCTCACATCCTGTTCATGGCTTGCTTGCAGCCTGCTCAGGGCCTGTCTGTGCTCTGCTACGTCCTGCTCACAGCCTGTTTGCAGCCCGTTCAGGACCTGTTCAGGTCCTGCTCAGGTCCTGCTCATGTCCCATTCAGGACCCGTTCAGGTCCTGCTCAGGTCCCGTTCAGGTCCTGTTCAGGTCCCATTCAGGACCCATTCAGGTCCTGCTCATGTCCCATTCAGGACCCATTCAGGTCCTGTTCAGGTCCCATTCAGGACCCATTCAGGTCCTGCTCAGGTCCTGCTCAGGTCCCATTCAGGTCCCGTTCAGCTCCTGCTCCTCCCACCCCAGCCCCCCCCCGCTGCGGTGCCCCTCGGTTCTGCACATTGTAGGAAGGAAAGCGTTTCTGTAACCAAACCAGTCTTTGTTCCTCGTTGCCTGTTGGAAGTTGCTCTCTGTCGCGTTGCTGAGGCCGTCCCTGGGCAGGGGGAGGCAGCGCCTGTTGCACTGCGGCTTTCTTTTACCAAAGCCCAACCCTCAGAACCAAATAGGGAGCAGCGGCCGCCCCGGCCTTTGGCTGACAGCACTTTGAGTCTCGCAGGAGCATCTCCTGGTGCTCCTGGTGCTGCAGTGCAGGCTGTGCTCCTCGGCTTCTCTGCCCCCGTCCCCCCGTCCTCCGGCTTGAAGGAAAGCGTAAACCTTTCTGCACCGAATACCTCAGTTGGGAACCAGAGCTCACAAAACTTGAATTAAAAGGTCCTTTTTGAAGATCCTTTTCAGTATTCTGCAGAGAAGAACTGGAAAAAAAAAAAAAAGAGATTTGTTTACATGGCTGCCGAGCCCGCGCTCGCTGCGTCCTTTATCTCCCGGCTCCTCGCCGATGGCCGTCGCCTTTCCCTGCGGGGTGGGAGGTCGGGTCCGAGCCCCACGGAGCCCCACGGAGCCCCACGGAGCCCCAGGCTGTGGGGTGGTGGCAGAGCTCAGGGCTGGCGCCGGGTGCAGACGTCGGCTGGGCAGCGCGTCGGTCGGTCACAGCTTTTTCCGTATCCAGGACGAGAGAATTCCTCAGAGCACACACAGCACGCTGCTTTTCCTTCTCTCCTTTCGACCGCCTTTGTCAGTATTGTGCTTCTCGGTTTCTTTTTCCAAACCTGATCTCTTCTGCCTTCTGTCCGCGCTGTGCGTTGTCAGCGTCGCTCCACGCGACGGCTGGACTGCGAGACAATCAATGTGATCTCTGTAAGGGCTGCTCCATTTCCTCTCTGCAGCGCCGTGCTTTACGTGGACGCGTTCTTTGCTCTTAGCGAGGAGTTTTTTCTCCCCTCCCCTCGTGTCTTATTATAAGTAATGATAATAATGATGATGATGACAGTGGAGTGAAACGAGGTTTCAGCAGCGCACCGCGGTTGGGGTTCTGGGGGTGGTGGGAGAGGGAAGCGCGGCCGCGTCCCTGCAGTCCCAGTCTTGTTCTCCTTTAACGCTGTATTGTATACATTTGACAGCACAGCTTGACAATTTAAGTAATAATCAAAGTGTTTGGTAATAATGCATTATTTTGCTAAACGAGATTTGTGATGGTTTCCCCAGTGCATTGTAAGAGGGATGGAGGGAAACTTCCGCTGCCCGCCCGGTGCCCGCTCCTCCCCGCCACCTCGATGCCAAAGTTGGACCATTCCTGCTTCGCGTTCCCTGCGGCACACGTTTGGTGCAGAGCTCACCAAGCAGCGACTTTTCGCCCCCTCCCCCCCCAAAGCTGTCCGTGTGGGTGTGGAACAAACAGCCCCATCTCCCCCTCCCCAAAACAAAAGGAAGTTTCTCTCCGCCCCCTGGTCCAAAGCACTTGCTTCAAGTAATAAGCACTTTTGTTAAAGCATGAGTCTGGATTCCCTTTAGCGTCCCACGGGATAGAGAGCAGCAAAGGAAGGGATTACGAGAGTGTCTTTGGGTTTTGGTTTTTATTATTCTTTGATTTTTTTTAACTTGAAAAAAGAAAAAAAAAAAAAGTTTGTTTCTAGGGAATGAATGAACAAAGGGAAGATGTGTTATGAGAGAGAGGGGGAAAAAAAAAAAAGAGGAAAAAAAAAAAAGAAAAAAAAAAAAGAAAAAACAGCACAAATACATTTCAAGTCGAGAAGGTGTATTTGCACTGCCATTGCTAGAATCCCGGGCTGCACAGCCCGGCTGAGCCATATAAACTGCTGACAAACACTGAATGTAACGCAGCGCCCGGAGCAGCCCGGCAGCTCCATTGGCTTTTCCTGACGGCCCTTCCACAGCCCCACAGAACCCAGCGGTGGTGAGGAGGTGCTCGGTGCGTTTCCTTGTTGCTGCTCCCGAGCTGCAGGCGATTTGTGTTTCCTTAGGGAGGTGTGAGACCCCCGTCCCTGTGCCCCCCCCAGTCCCGGTCCGGTTCCCCAACCCAAAGCACCGCAGAGGTCCCAGCCCCCCCCCGACCCGGGGCTGAGTCCGACAGGTCCGAAAGTAGCACTGATAGCAGAGCAAAAGCTCCAAAAAACAAAAAATAGGAAAAAAAGATAAGAGGGGTGACTTCAGGTTGTGAGCAGCCCGAGCGCCGCAGCGCAGCCGGCGGCACTGAGCGCAGCGCGGAGCAAAAGCCAAAACAACGAACCAGAGACCCCAGAAACAACCTTTTTGGTTTATTTGTGTTGTGTGTGGGGCCGGGGGCTGCGTCCCCCCCCTGCTCCCCCCATAGGGACCACAGAACCGTGAGCATCGTGTCTGAGCTGTGCAGAGCGCGTCCCACTTTGCCTTCAGTAAGAAACCAAAGGACAAAACCCACCCCTCTCCATCCGGAACAGCGTGCGTTGTTCGCTTTGGGGCAGTTGGTTTTTTTTTTCTTTCTTTCTTTTCCTTTTTTTTTTTTGTTTTGCTGTTCTGTTCGTTTCTTTCTTCCTTTCTCTCCAAGGACACCAGGAGCTGGTGGCACCTCTTCTCCCAGCGGCGCTTTTTCGGGGCAGCGGGAAGGGGACGCGTCTCCGAGGACTTGAAGGCATCTGTAGCAAGCTCTGTGTCTTTACAATATCCTGTGTGTAAATGCTGCACCTCTGTATATTATGCACATAAACATTTCTTCGAATACGATAGGACAGACCTCATCAGCAGTCAGGTACAACGACTTCCTCCTCTGTGTCCCGGTGTCCCCTGTGTGCGTGTGGATCCGCGTGTCTGGGCGTTGTCTGAGCTCATTCCGATGCAAAGAAGGAGGAACAAAATAATAATAAGAGGAACATGGCCTTACTCGATCCCGTCCTATTGATCTTGTTCAACTTGACCATAATAAAGTGAACGCATGGAAAGCTGTGGCCTGGCTGAGCCGCGCGCGGGGCGGCTGCGGGGTTTGGCTTCGCCCTTCCCTCCTCTCCTCTCTTCTTTCCTCACCCAGCGCTGCAGGGAATTCAGCCAGAGGGTGAACTGCTGTGCTCTGCTCCCAGTGCTGCTCTGTGGTGGTGAGCTGCCGTCCGTCCGTCCGTCCCTCAGCCAGGACGTGGGTTGGGCTCCGGCCGGGTCAATGCGAGCGCATTTAGGGGTCCTGCTGCCCTTAGGGTCTGTGTGAGCGTGGTTTTTGGGGTCCTGCTGTCCTTCGGGTCTGTGTGAGCACTGTTTGGGGCCCCGGTGCTCTTAGGATTGGTGTGAGCGCAGTCCCACTGTCCTTAGGGTTGGTGTGAGCGTGGTTTATGGTCTCGCTGTCCTTAGGGTCAGTGTGAGCACATTTTGGGGTCCCGCTGTTCATAGAGTCGGTGTGAGCTCCAACTGGGGTCCCGGCATCCTTAGGCTCAGTGTGAGTGCAGTTTGGGTCCTGCTCTCCTTAGGCTCAGTGTGAGCACAGTTTGGGGTCCCAGTGCTCTTGGAGTCAGTGTGAGCACCATCTGGAGCTGCTGTGTCCTAGGGTTGGTGTGAGTGCCTTTTGGGGTCCCAGTGCCCTTAGGGTCGGTATGAGCATGATTTGGGGTCCCACTGTCCTTAGGATCTCTGTGAGCACAGTTTGGAGTCCCACTGTCCATGGGGTTGGTGTGAGCGCCGTTTGGGGTTCCCCTGTCCTTTGGGTCAGTGTGAGCACTGTTTGGGGTCCCAGAGCCCTTAGGGTCGGTGTGAGCATGGTGCCACTGTCCTTAGGGTCAGTGTGAGCACAGTTTGGGGTTCTGGTGCCCTTAGGGTCGGTGTGAGCACAGTTTGGGGTCCTGTCGTCCTTAGGTTCAGTTTGAGCTTTGTCCCAGTGCCCTTAGGGTCGGTGTGAGCACCGTATGGGGTCGTGCCATCCATAGGCAGTAGGATTGCAGCTGGGCTGGGCGTCTCACTGCTGATAACATCATTCCATTCCTGAGTTCTGCACTACGGCGCCGCGGGAGGTTTGGGACGGGGTCAGAGCGTTTGGGTTCTGTGCACCGGAGCACCCATGGGCACAGCGCATCCCTGGGAGCTCTGCTGCTCTGAGTCCTCTTCCAGAGTCCTTTAGGAGTTTTCTGGAAGGTTCTGCCCTTTCCTCGCCCTCCTCGACGTGTGTGTTGGGGAGCTGAGGAAGCATTGCTTCCCTTCTCGTTGCTGAGTGCTCTGGGTGTATTTCCGAGTCTTGCGGTGCGCCCTGGGCGTAGTGGTGCCAAACGGGGGGAGTGGGTGTGCAGCCCCCCATTCCCCAAAGCAATAGAGCCCTGGGGGGGCTGCACACAGAGCTCAGCATGGCATTCCCGGGGGGTCCCGCATCCCCCAGCCCAGCGCCGACAGCACTTTACTGATGCCCGGAGTGGGATGAGCCCCATGGGGGCATCCCCACACCCCCCGCTTCCTCCCTTAGACTGCATCCCAGTGCCGATCTGTGGCACTGGGGGGGTCAGCACGGTGGTTGGAAACGGAGCGCTCTGAGTTGTGTCCTTTCTGCACTGTTCTCACTACCTCTTGTGATAACCGGACGGCGGCAGCTCCGCTCCGGGCCCCACTGCTGCCCCATTGGCACTGGAGGGGCCCCCCACTGCCCGGTGTGTGTGCGCCCATCTCTGCAGCAGGTACTCCTGTTTGGGGGGTGGGTGGGCGGGTGCCTCTGTGCCGTGGGGCGGGGGGAGACATGCGGGCACTGTCCTGTGGGTGCAGCTGCTCCTTCCTCCCACCGCTGGTTCCAAGCACAACGCAGCCGTTGCCCCCCAGCTGAGCGTTCAGCTCCACGTCCCACCACCAGTGGGGCAGTTTTGATGTGCAATTTACAAATAGACTAAACAAACCACCAATAACCCCCCCGACCCCTCGGGGCCGTCGCTGTGAGCCGTGTCCCAAAGTGTAGTCCTATCCCAAGAGCCCCGACCCAGTTCTATTTTCAACCCCCCTCCCCCCCAGCTGTAGGAAGAGCACAGAGCTGTGCCCCACACCGCCCCACGGCCCCATCCCCGTGCTGAGCATTGTGAGCAGTTCCTTTCGTCTCAGATGTCCCATTGATGCATCACCTTTGGGGGAGGGATGGGGGGAGGGAGGGAGTAAAGGAACAACAACAGAAAAAAAAAAAAAAAAAAGAAAAAAAAAAAAACCTAAAAGGGGGGAAAAAAAGGAATAAAATAAAAGAAAAACGCATTCAGACTTGATCTATTTTATACAATGTAAGCTGCGACCAAGTCCTGTTATTCATATTGTGGCTTTGAATCGATTATGTTTATTAAAATGCTATTGCTTCTACTCCCTCTTCTGTTGTCCTTTCTCGGGGAGGGGAATGTCGGTGTCCTTTCCGTGTCGGTGCTGCCAGACCCGGAGCTCTGCAGTGCCACCGAGGAGGGGTGGGGGCCCGATGTTGTCCCTGCTGTCCCTCCCCTCCATGGGGACGTGGAGTTGGGGTCTGGCAGCTGCGACCCACGGAGCCCCCCGGGTTGGTTCCACGCGTTTCGTCTTGGCAAACATCCGGGTTGGCAGACGGGTCCCGCGAGGAGGGGAGAAAGTCCGAACCCAGGGGTGGGTTTTGGGGGTCCCTGCAGCCATCGGGGTGGGGGGCGCATGGGGGCCGCCCCCTCAGGGCTGCAGCCACGCGCTGAGGTGGCCCTCGGCCAACGCGATGCCCAGCATGATGCCGCTGCCCAGCAGGAAGCCCACGTTCTGCAGCACGAAGTGGCCCCACGTCCCCCCGCCGGGACCCCGCAGCACCTCGGGGAGCTGGGGCAGAGCGGGGGCTCAGGGGGGGCACAGCACGGCCCCCTGCCCCCAGCCCTGCCGGCCCTCACCATGTCAGCCAGAGCCACGTAGAGGAAGGTGCCAGCGGTGGCGGTGAGGATCCACGGGGTGAGATGAGCCGCGTTCTGCCCCACGGCCGCCCCCACGGCCGCCCCCAGGCAGGAGAGCAGCGCCGAGAGCAGGTTGAGCAGCAGGAGCGTGCGGGGGGCTGTGCCTGCCTGCAGCAGCACCGCGAGGTCACCTGCAGGGAGAGGAGGGTGGGCGTGGGGTGGGGGGTCTGGGGGGTCTGGGGGCGGGGGGTGCCGAGCCCTTACCCAGCTCGTGGGGCAGCTCGTGGCACAGCACTGCCAGCGCGGTGCTGAGGCCGCTGGGGAGGCTGTGGGAGAAGGCGACGCCTGCGGGAAGAGGGGACCTCCGTGTAGCAGTGCTCAGCCCCGTGTCACCGCGTCCCCCTGCGCCCATCTGTGTGTTTTACATCCCTCTGCACACCCCCTACCCCGTACAGCCGGCACTTTGCCTGCTTGCACCTCCCCCCCCCCCCCCCCCCCCCGCCCCCCCCCCCCCCCCCCCCCCCCCCCCCCCCCCCCCCCCCCCGGGCGTCCTCATCCCCTCGTGCCCCCCCCGTCACCACCCACAGCCCCCCGCCGCTGCCCACCGATGGCCAGCCCGTCGGTCAGGTTGTGGATGCCGTCCCCCAGCACCACCATCCACGCCAGATCAGCGGCCGCGGGGCTGGGGGGCAACGCGGGGCCGTGGGAGTGTCCGTGGTGGGGTCCGGGGGGGCCCTTGGGTTCCGCCTCCACCTCCGGGGCCGTCAGACAGCGCAGCTCAGCGCCTGCGGGTGGAGAGGGGCGCACGGCGCGTGACGGTGTCGGTGCTGGCGGTGCGGGGGGGGGCTGTGGGGGTCTTACCGCCTCGCAGCGTGGCCGGGACCCCCGCGGCCGCCTCGGGGGTCTCTCCGTGGGGACGGGGCTGGGAGGAGAGCAGAGGCGATGGGCACAGCGGGACTCAGCGGTGCCCCCGTGCCCTCCCGGTGCCCGCGGTTCCCACCGTGGTGGCACGGCGACGGCGCAGCATTCCCAGCAGCAGCTCCAGCAGCAGCAGCACGTAGATACCCCCCAGCACCGCCAGGCCCTGCAGCACCGCCCGCAGCACCGCCGCCGGCTCCTGGTGCTGCCCCTGAGCCTGCAGCGGGGCGGGGGTCAGCGCCGTGCCACGCTCCGTGCCGCCCGTCCCGCTGCCACGGGGGTACCTACGTGGGGCCAGAGGTGCAGCAGGGCGTCCCCGCAGAGCGTCCCCACCGCCAGTGCCACCAGGAAGGACAGCAGAGCGTGGAGCTGCCCGAGGCTCAGCAGCGGCACCACGGCCACGGCCGCGGCCGATGGAACGCTGATGAAGGTGACGGCCAGCAGAGCCCAACCCAGAGCTGCGTGGGGACGGGGTGAGGATGGGGACCTCGGGACCGGGAATGCGGAGGTGGGGATACAGGGATGCGGGGATGCGGGGATGGAGGAGCGCGGGGTGGGGCTGAAGGGGGACGGGGACCGAGGGTGGGGCTGTGGGATGGGGACGTGGGATTGGGGATGGGGGGTGATGGGGATGGGAGGATGGGGACCAAGAGGCGGGGACTGGGGGACAGGGAGCTGATGGATGGGGATAGAGGGACTGTGGGATGGGGATCGAGGGATGGGGGACTCCGGGATGAACGGCTCAGGGCTGGGAGCCCAGGACAGAGCCTGGGTTGGGGTTACCTGGCCACAGGGCCCCCCCTGTTGGGGACCACGTCACCTCGTCGCGGTGGTGGATGCAGACCCGGCTGTCGATCTGGTAGAGCAGCGCGGGGCAGAGCAGCGTGAACTGCTGCGGGGTGAGCTGTGAGGCTGCGTCCAACCCGAAGTTCAGCAGCAGCTGCGTCACATTGAGGCACTGTGGGGGGGGGATGCTCAGGGCTGGGGGGGCTCCATGTGGGCTCCGCAGCCCCCAGCCCAACTCACGGAGTCATGTGCATGGTCATATCCGGAGTGGTCCAAGCCCAGCACGCGGCCCA